ATCTTTCTGACCTCAAACTTTTGAATGCCGGTGTATATCATTACTATAGAAAGCAAACAAAGTACCTAGTTATTCTCAGTACCTGTAAAATTTCAGCAGCTGTTAGTGTTTGTGTGTGAGTCTCTGTACTTTCTTCTGTATTTCAGCCCCTCCAGTTCAACTCTGCCACCTGGACTGGTTCGCCTTGCAACCAAACAGTTGAACTGGCAATTGGTGCTGGCAAGGTAATACCATCAGTTTTACTGTATATACCATACAGACATACTGTATAAAAGCTTTTCAGAGAGTTTGAGTTAGTCTATTCCTGGCAGGTTCATCCACAGTGTGAAAAGCTCTTTTGCACTTGATGCATCGGCATTTGCTGTATATTGATCATCCACACCTTATTAACTCTGCATTAATAAAGTGTATGCTGTGTCTCACCAAAAAATCATTGTATTTTGCCCCTAATTTAGACTCTAAAGTTGTTTTAGGTTCATTTTAACTGCAACAACACTGTTTTCTTGGTTTTGTTGGTGTGTTTTGGTTCTTGTTGTGAGAGATCCAAATTTAATTAAACGTCTGTTTGTGGATGCAAGCCATGTAATCTCAATCAAACTCATTTTTTCCTTCACTGTTCTTCTTGTTCCTGCCAGTTATCTAGTTATGCAAAACAGTGCAATACAACCAGAGACAGCAAGCTTTAATTAGCTATTGATTTCTAGATGGAAGACAACATTCTCTGTGTTAGAAATATTTATTTTTGGCCCCACGTTTGCTTACACAGTCATTCTGTCTTCTTTTCCCCCATTTTGTTTATTTATTTTTTCCCCATCCAGTAATGGGAAGCTTCTGGCTGTGGTTCAGGACCAATGCGTGGAAATTAGGTAATTCTGCACATTGATTGGAAATGTTTGCCCTTTCTATAATTGATTAATTTTTCACCCTCTTGTCTCAGGGGCTGTTCAGCTGAGCAAAGCTACTTCTGAGATTGATGATTTGGTGCAGATGATGTATTTTTAAACATTTGTATGTGTTTTCATGTACAATTCCGTTTCAGTGGGTGTGATTTATTTTGCTTAGCACCAGCTAATCCACTCGCGCAGAAATGAAAGTGTCATGCTTCAGGGTCTAAGTAATTCCCAGCCTGAAATTCTGAAAACAACCTCTAAATTGGTTAATCTAAAAAAAATCTATAGTTTTTTCCACATTCTCTTATATTTACTTACTGAGGCTGATGGGAACTCAAAACGCTCATATGTGATTATCAAAATGCTTCTAATGGGCTTCTTGCTGTCTTTTAGGTCAGCTAGAGATGACTTTGGATCCATCAAAGGAAAATGCCAAGGTACAGTGAACATTTTGTTTTGTGGTTATGCCAGGCTATTTCCCCAGATTTTCAACAAAATTAGTAGCATATAGCAGAAAGTTTCTGTGAATTTTGACATTCTCAGCAAATATTTGCTGATTTAATTGGAACTTAATACCATTATAAACGTTCTCAGACTGGTTCATGAATATTAATTAGGTGACGTATATGGTGTGTGTGTGTGTGTGTGTATATATATATATATATATA